ATCATACTTCTAATCATTTGATATTTACACTGGGTTTAATCTCTCTATTTAAAAGAGTTAGAGATAGTTCTTTCTCATTGAATCTAGAAAAGAAATGAATTAACTCAGTTTTATTCATATCAAATTGAATTTGATTGATATCTGCTCTAATAAAGATTTTCTTTGCAGCTTCTTCAATCACTTTCAAATTCTCTTTGATAGTTTTTAAGCTGTAAACTAGATCAATATCACTCACATAACTCAGAGATCATACTATTCTCATATTTCTATTTTTAAATAGATATGCAGTGTATATTGCAAATAAAATAGATGAGATTGAAGATTCTTGTGATACTTCTATTTTTATCTCAGTCTTGTCTTGTTTCATTTCATCAAAGAAAAGTTGTATAATTCTTTTAGATATAAAACAGTTAATGCATTTTATTAGAGAAAGTGACATTTTTAACATCTTCAAAGTCTGAATTAACTTTGACTTTGAAACATGATCAAATGCTTCTTTTATATCAATAAAAACTGCAGTTGAGACCAGATCTTCATACTTTGCTATTTAAATATTATGAATAACTGAGAGAACAGTGTCAATTACAGAACATTGTTTTCTATCTCTCATTTATTCACTGAATAAAAGAGAGTTATTAATAGAGCTTATAAAAGATAGTTGAGTAGCTATTATCTTTTTCAAAATCTTTTCTAGACAGTTTAATAGAGATATTACTCTATATAACTTAGGAATTGAAGTTTTTCTATTAGATTTTATAAGAATCACTTCAGTGACTTCTCTCCAGCATTCAGAATGATATTTATTTTTTAAGAGATTGAAAAAGAGCTCAAAATATTCATTCTTTAAGTAGGAATATATATTTTGAATAATCAAGTGATTAATTGAATCAGGCTCTGCAGCAGTTTTAACAGAACTTGAGAAGATAGCTGACTCTAATTCATCTTATGTAAGATCAGGCCATTCTCAGTTATTTTTATCAATGTAGTTGAGAAGTGATATATTCTCTTTCTCTGAATCTGAATCTGAATCTGGTGAGTTCTGAAAGAGAATTCTTATAAAAGCTTGACATTTTTTCTCAAAAGAGTTTGCTGTATATGATTCATTCTGAAACTCATATTCTAAGACTGGAAGTTTTGCTACACTTCTTGTTTTAGTATAGTTAAAAGCTTTAAAAACTTTCTTCTCTTATGCTTCTTCAAGAAATTTATTTCAGTAGTCTGTTTTAGCTCTTTTAATATCTGAAAAATATTCATTTCTGACAGCTTTGAACTCTTTATCAGATATTACATCATTCTTTCAATCTCTTTTAGCAGTAGCTAATGCTTTTCTTTTAGATGAGATATTCTTATTTCATTAAGATTTTGAATACTCAGAAGATTTTCTCTTTGAAATATTATCTCTAACACTTGTTAGAATAATAGATGTAATAAGCTTCACTCTATTCTCAAGCATTTCATTTGAGATATCTTGATCAGAATTTCAATATAGCTCATTCTATCTTTCAGATTTTAACAGTTTTATGCTTTCTTCAACTGCTTTTCAATCAGCTTTTTCAAAGTTAAACTGATTAGAGAGAAGAGAATTTTCACTCATTTATTTTTCACTCAGTTCAATATTAAATTGAATAATCTTATGATCTGATTCTGATGTCTCATTTGAATCAATAAATCAGTTTATAAGTCTTCTTTTCATTAGATTTTATGACATGAAGATTAGATCTATAATAGATTTCTATTTCATGTCTTTTCTAAAGAATGTTTGTTGATCAGACTTATTAATCAAATCTATTGAATGCTCAAAGATTCATTCAATCAGATTATCAGCTCTCACTGCTCTCTTGCATTCTGAATTTCATCAGAGATGATGTGCATTGAAATCTCCTGCAATTATAGAGTTTCTTGATAAAGTTATGTTTAGAAATCCTCTATCAATTGTTCAGATATTATTATTTTTCTTCAATAACTTTTCATTATAGATATTTATAAGCTGTATAGTATTAAACTCATTTTCTTTATCTATAATATCACTCATCAGAATATCAGAGTCAGACATGATATCAAATCTTAGATTAAATTGATATCTTGATCTCTTTCTTTCATAGATCACTACTCTTGACTTTATCTCAGACTTTTGAGATAGAAAGCAGTAGTAGCTTGAATGAGAAATAATGTAATTTTGCTCAGTATCAAAATTCAGTTCCTGAAGTAGTATAAAATCAACTTTTTATTCAAATGCAATTTGAAGACAAGAATAAATATAATTTGAGTTTCTATTCACATTATTTTGAATAAATGTGATTTTTGAAGAGGTTTTAAACTTTTTTTGTTGTTTTTGTTATATATTCATACTTAAAGAGAGTAGAGATAGAGTAGGATCTAGTCACTATCATCAGATAGTAGATTATAACTATTTTGAAAAGTAGGGATCTTAACTGCTTACATTATATCTAGTTTATTATCAGAGTTATTTCTCAATTCTCTAATCTTAACAGGAGTTTGAGAATTCAAATTCTGTTTACATTTAGCTGAAGAATTGAAGTTTGAAGATTTAGATAGTTAAGAGTTTCTTCTTTTTAAGCTTATAGTTGTAAGTCTACTGGCTTGACTCTTCTCTTCAGTTCTAGATTGACTTTGAGCTTTATCTTTTCTTCAGTTCTTTTGAGTTCTAGAAGCAAACATACATTCTTTTAAGCTAGATGCATGTTTTTCTTTACAATTAGAGCACTTAAGCAGAGTATATTCACATATTTCATCTCTTTTCAAGCATGTTTCACATTTATGCTCACTAGTTTTGTGATCTCTGGCACAGAATGCACATTTTGAGTCTCTAAAATATGAGATTGTAAAGTGTTCATATCTTTGACAGTTTGAACACTGTGTTTGAGCTTTGAGATTCATTCTTGAGTCTTTGTATTCATGAACTCTCATTTTCAAATCTGCTACTCTTACTTCAGAGATCTTTGACTGTTCAAGTGTTTTTATATATACTAGAATAGAGGCATTTCTCCTGCTTTGTCTGAACTCAATTGAATTTAGTTATACAGACTTCTTTCTCAGTTGAATAGAGTTGTATTCTTCTAATTCATTTTTGAGAAGTAGCATTTCTTCTTCACAGTTAAAAATTTCAACTGAAATATTATAAAGAATGAATTTGTCTCACTTTTCATCTCTTTCAGATAGAATTGTTGTGTTTAGCAAAGATTCTACTACTGACTTTCAGAGATTCTTATTCTGAATAAGAAATTCAGCACTGAATTCAGACATTATAGTCAGAATAATAGAGTTTTCAAAGAATAATGACTTAATTGAAGCTATAACTGATTTTTGAACTTTAATATCAGTTATCAACTGAGAAAAGAACTGCTGATTAATTTTATTTCTGATTCTGAAAATGAGATTTGAGTTTAGCTTATTTCTTTGTAGAATATCCTGATTTGAGACTTTAAGAATAAGTCTTCTATTTCTGAAGATTTAAAAGTTTTTTTCTTTTTGCATTTTCTTTTTCACTTTTCTATGAATAGAGATATGAGCAGTATTCTTCTCAGTTTTCTCAGGATTTTGAGCAGATTTTAAGATAGCAGATTTAGAGACAGTAGATTCAGCTGCTTAAGCATATATTTTCTTCTGATTCAAAGAAGAAGAAGAAGTAGGAAAAAAAGAAGAAGAGTAAGATGAAGAGTCAGTGATTGTACTAGGAATTTTCAATGTTTTTTAAACTGTGTTTGAGATTTCAAGTTTGAACTTAATCATCTTCTGTAGTTGTCTAGTCTGAGTATGAAGAATTAACAGAACTTCTTCATTTATCTTACTCAGATACTGCTTTTCAAGAATCTTACTTGCTTTTTCAAGTTCCTGTATTTCAAGAACTTGTTATTTCTCTACGTGTTCTCTCTTTCTTCTCTTCAGAATTTCAGGATAGCATTTGAGAAGCATCTTTTTTCACATCAACTGAGTGTATTTTTGACTTATTATTCTCACTCATGAAAGTTAGTCAGACTGTTTCAATTGAGATATTTCTAGTCTGTTTTCATGAAAGTGATCAGACTGTTTCAATTAAGAGATTT